GTAATTATCACGCATTCATTGGACGTATTTTTTTCCTTGGCACTACAGCCCCAGTGGCCTAGGCCGACTTCCATGAACTTTTCCGTTCGCTTCGGGTTTTCTGGATCTTACACATTCGGTAGGACTCCTTGGGCGGGTGATCAGCTCGTCGCAAGTCCTTTACCTGTACACAAACAGAAAAACGCACACACACAAACTAAACATCCATGCCTTGAGTGGGATTCGAACCCACGATCCCGGTTTCCAAGCGCGCGAAGACAGTGCATGCCTTAGACCGCTCGGCTACCGTGACCGGCAACATATAAGAATTCAGTTCGTACCTCACAGGAAACAGATCCGAAACTACGATCCCAGCTTCCGAGCGAGAGAAGACAGTACATGCGTTAGACCGCTCGGCTACCGTGACCGGCAGTGTATAAGAATAATATATAATAATTCAGTTCGTACCTCACAGGAAACAGATCCGAACCCACGATCCCGGCTTCCGAGCGAGCGAAGACAGTACATGCCTTAGACCGCTCGGCTACCGTGACCGGCTCTGGACGTATTGTTAATGTAAATTGAGGCATTGTCTTTCCACTTAGCGAATGAAAGACACACCATTTGCAGGAAGTAGGTAATAAAAGTGGAGTGAACACCGTAGTCTATTGGGGTGTACGAGTATGTTTCTGGCTTGTGCTCCTCTGCATTTGGGCTCCATTTTCTTTCTAGAGTCGCGCTGTCTTGCCATAAGCTTTAGGGAGATTTCCTCAGTCGCTTGTGGTCTCCATTTTCTTGCTGGAGTCGCATTGTCTTGTCATAAACTTTAGGGAGATTTCCTCAGTCGCTTAGGCAAATTAAAATAGAGCATTCTTTTTTCTTTGTGCTTCTTTTGTAATTTCTCTCTCACTAACAACTTTCCATTTTACTTACATAAATTAAGAATCGAAACTAAGAGTTAATTACTGTAAGGTTGATGGGTACAGTCTGATAAGAGAGTAGAGTCAGTTTCGAGCTTACCATGTTATCATGATGGCTCTGATGTGTCACTAGTATTAATAACCTGTACATACAGAATCAGAGCATTAAATCTGCTCAGTTTTCCTGCACTTTCCTCCGGAACACAGCTGCTTGCGAAGAATTGCAGGAATAAAGAAGGGAGGTGTCGATAAGGGAAAGAAGAGGGCAGTTGGTGGGCATGGAATGATGTAATAAGGTTATATAGTACGAGTACCTGGATATTGGTCGCTATTCCTGTGCTTCTTAAATCACACGGAGAAGAAGAGAGAAGGAAGATGGAAGGGAAGAAATGATAAAAGGAAGATATTAGGGTACGATGAAAATGTCGAAAGAAGGAACTGAAGAAAAAAGAACATAAAAAGCAAAGAGGCGAAAGTATAAAATGAAGAGGAAGGAGACAAATGAAAGAAAACGTGGATTGACTGATGGATGAGTGGGCACGACGACCGGAAATATTGATGGACGGACACACGAATCTGTCCCCCTGAGGTGAAATGAAACGTACGACAGCGAGCCTCCCGTTTCTGTCACATTCCTTCCCTAAACACTGTGTTTCATAATCTGTTCATAATGGTGTCCTTTGGGTGGCACGTGTCAGAGTACTGTATGTCACCACAGGCATGTGTTTCATACTTCTGTTCATAATGGTGTCCTTAGGGTGGCACGTGTCAGAGTACTGTATGTCACCACAGGCATGTGTTTCATACTTCTGTTCATAATGGCGTCCTTTGGGTGGCACGTGTCAGAGTACTGTATGTCACCCCAGGCAAAGCCCTGATATTCGCCAACGCTCTGCAGATTGTGAAGTAATGTATCCCTTTGTTTATAGTCAATTTAACGATCTTATCAGGATTTCAAGCTATAAAACTTCAAACAACATTGCATAATAAATTGGAAAATATATGGAAGAAATCGTCCGAGGTCTAATTTCGGTATAGTCCGCTTTTTGCTTGGAGTAACTGAGCAAGACCACGAGAAACCTCCGTCAGGACAATCGATACAAGTCAGAAACACTGTCGCTTGAGCCAAGTTTCTTGTTTATTAATTTGCAGTTGACCACTCATATTCGTCCAGTGGCTAGGCTAAGGTTTAACAGAGGTTTACATATGCACTCATTGTACGTATTCATGATGTTTTGCTTCAATGCAGCTCCTAAATTTACCCTTACTTTATATTGGAGTCCCTGTTTTTAAAACCGTAGATGCAATGGATTTTTAAAATAATATCTTTCCCCCTTTTGTTATATATAGTATTTTCTTTTCCTGAGGCAATCAAAAATAAAAGAAAGTCGATTTTTATCTGTTATTATGCGTGTGCATAAAAACTTGGTTTCTAGCTTTGAATGAAGAAATCTGATAAAGGATATTTCGGCTCCAAGCGGCGAGAAGAATATTCAACTTGGGAGGGGGGGAAGGAAATGACAAAAACTGGACAAAATTACGTTATAATGAGTTTCATTGTTTGTATTATTCACCGGTACCCTCAGGGTAGTTGAGAAAATTCACATAGGTAAATGCAGAAGGCTAAAAAAAATGTTACTATATTATGTACGGAAATTTTCAAAATTGAACCGAAATGTAATGTAGTTTGTATAGTGTGATATTCTCTCAAAAGATGGTGCTAGTCGTATGAGTGCCAGAGCCACGTTATCAAATGGAAGGACATTCAAAGGAAATGACGGATGAACGATTGTCGTTCAAACAACGCAAAATAAATTTGAAGTGGTGCTTGGAATGTGAAAACATATGCGAAATACGAGAGTGACGGTTTGAATTTACAACAGAACTTCCAACACGATTAACTATTGCAAGCTTGTGTGGAAAATTTGAGATCCACTGTACAGTGCATGATGTGCACGTCCAAAAATCTGGGAAGACTTGAACAGTAACGAGTTCCACCTCTTCCGCTATTGCGTTGGAGCAGTTTACACTATCACCCCAGAAGTCCACTAAGCAATGAGCACGTGAGACAAGAATTAGCAGACTTAAAGTACAACGATTTGTAAAATGTACAACATGGGAATTTAGATCCGAAAGTGACGATCATTTTCGAAGAGTGTAGTTTTATGAGTGGTGTCAAAACAGGGTACACAAGAATGAGGAGTTTGTTAGCAAAAATGGCCTGATGAAGCAACATTTAAGCTGAATGGTGCAGTGAATCACCACGATTGTGTGTTCTGTGCTCCATAGAGGCCACACATTTATACCCGTATTGACATGGCGGTGAATTTGCCAGGACTTACTCTCTGGTGTTTAAGTGAACCATTCTTTTTGAAGGAAAAGTTACTGGCCGTAGGGAAGAGCATGTAGCACGAATGGGGGAAAAGAGGAATTCATATAGGATATTGGTGGGAATGCCAGAAGGATAGTGATAACTGGGAAGACAAGTGGGCGGACAGTGTTAAAATTGATCTTAGAGAGACAGGATGGGGTTCTACGGTTTGGATTGATCTGGCTCATGATAGTGACCGGTGGAGGTCTCTTGTGAACACGGTAATGAACATTCGGGTTACATAAAATGCTGGGAAATTCTTGGGTAGCTGCATAATTGGCGGCTCCTCAAGAAGGGCTCAGCTCCATGAGTAAGTAAGTAAGTATGTACCTCAACAAACTTTGGGTATCCATTTTACCTGCCATTCATCCGCTCTATGGGAATGTATTGTGACGTGTTTGCGTTATGCAGGACACCTCCTCCCCCGCCAGCGGTGATGTAACGTCGATGCTACGGTAACAGGCCAGTCAACACTCCGCCCCCTCCTGCGGTGACGTAATAACACTTCCCACTGTGACGTAACAGGGCACACCGCTGTTGACACAGACAACAGGGAACGGTATAAAAAGCCGGCTGAGCAGTATGTGACAGACAGTGTGTGATCAGGAGTGACACAGTGCGGATCGTGAAGTCGCCGAGTGCAGCAGAAGTCTAGCAGTCGCCGAGAGCAGTGGATGTAATTGTGATACTTGCAGATGGCAGTAACTGTAATAGTGAATTGTGTGAGTGTGAGAGCGAGTGGGATAAAGTCGCTATATCCAAGACGGCGTGAAGTTATTTGTCGCGTAATACACCCAACATGTGACAGTATTTTACTTCCAACAATATGGCGCACCACAACACTACCACCGAGACGTCAGCAGCAACCGCGATGGAACTCTACCAGGTCAAAGGATAGGACGAAGATGTAGTGCTGATTACCCTCCACGGTCGCTTGATTTAGCTTCCCTCGACTTTTACTTGTGGGGTCCCTACAGGATGGGGTATATCGTGGAAACCACCGACATCGGAGACGTTACGGGAAGAAATTGAAACGTAGCATGTCGCCATCCCAATGAAAGCCTTGGCCACAGTTGCTCGTGAACTAGAAGTGTCCGCAAGAGCTTTCAGCAGTTCTTCTAGTTCAACACGTGTAGCAGTCATCCCTTTCTGTGTATATAAAATTTGGATTATCAACAAATTATTTAAGCAGATATTTTATACATTGAATTGCGTACATATTTTTTAGCGTTCTGTAGCATGGCATGCAATAGGCGAAGTGATAAAATGTCCATAGTTTGAAAGGAAGGTTTTATTTGTGAGACCTGGACATAAATAGGAAGAAAATGTGTGTACTGAATTCAACTGGCTTAGGACATAATCTAGTGATAGGCTTTTGTGAACGCGGTGATGAATATGAAAGTTACATTACCGCGAATTTCATGGACAGCTGAACTTACTGTTTGTAGCATATCTTGTACCATGATGATAGGAGTGCTGATCTTCTTTCTTAAAATATCTGCATTCTTTGATTTATATTTTTATTGGATAAAGAAATATTTTAATTCTCTCGATTTTATACACGTGTTATTAGAGCAGTATGTTACAGGGTATCAGTAGCAATAACGCTTGATAGTGGAAGTCCCCTCCTTGTAGAATAATAAAGTACGTACTTACTGTATAACGCCCACAGAGACGTTTTTATATGATGCCACTTTCTTCTAATTCATGTTTATGGTAATTGTTTTCAGGTAAAGGAAGCAGCGATGTCATGATCCCCCCCAGACACCGGCCATATTTCGAGACGAAACACCTCCCTCCGCAGGAAGCCAGCACGGCCAACGACGTCTCCATATACCATTACGATACTAGACATTCATTGTACCATGAGGGGCTGACAAAGGATGTGAACTGGGCAGTCAGTTTTGTGCAAAAGAAATCCTTGTATAACGGTCATGTGATATCGCGACGCAGTTCCAAAGACGATCCACAGACGGAAAAATGCAAGGAGTTCACTCAGGGAAATCAAAAGCGAAAGGAATTCTACTCGCCAAATTACCCCGGAAACTACCCCAGCAACACTGAATGCATCAGATTGTTAGAAGGTAAGTAATGGCTTCCTTTACATCTGTCTCTTAGCAACTCATGTCAAAGGGCTCTCACCAGAGTTCATGGTCTGGTATCTTTAGGGGCAACAGTGACGTGGCTAAGACCAATGGAGGTGGACAGCCCGAGGTATCTGGAGGATGTTCCAGGTTTAAGACAACTACAAAATTACTACGTGTTCTTCTGCGACGTAAATGAAATATTGTTCTGTTCCAAAGCAGATAATCTTTCTCCATCTCTTGTTGTGTGTCACACATCAATCTGACTTTTAGTTACGTTTCCGAAAATAAATTCGAAAACAGAATGTTAGTTTCGCATGTTAAGATTGCCGAAATCATTTTGTCCGGTCTTGGAGAAGTATAAATATACTAGATTTTATTCAATTACCACGATTTGGTTCAATTTCGTTCAGTTTCGGGGATCACTCTGCTTAAGAGCCTAAGCGAACTCCTTGCCTGCACGTTTTAATTCGTCAAGAGATGAAGTTTAATCTGCAACTCTTCTGTTGGGCTGGTATATGATATTGTCACATGTAGGAGTACGAGTGACGAATATTCGTAGCGGGTTCTAGATCGGATGATTGGATTTATTGGCAATTCGGTTACAAGTTCTCTCAATAACAATCAATTATAACGCTATCGCAGATTTACACACTTTTCAGTTCACCGTTCCATACGCACTGGGATTCCCAGTTTCCACAAGCCGTCTTCTGGCAACGGGTCTCAACACAGAAACTATCACTTCCAATCACTTTGAGACCTTCTTCGACCAAATTCTCCAACGCAAATTCTCTCTCTCAGATTCTCTGTATGACTGGAATCTCCTGGTCCGAATTCTCAAATCAACAGAACTGCCAGTCAAAGTCACACTGGGACTAACGGTCAGTCAGTCAGTCCTGGTGTGGAGGTCCATCTGGGGTTCATGACCAGATATTTATTAATGTTTAACAGTAACGGTATTCTTTTTGTGGGGCACTTTCTCTGACGAGAGGACGGGTCTGTCTTTTGTATATGCTGCTGGTTCTTGCCAGCGCAGTTTTTCTCAGGTCCCTTGGAATGCACACTTGCGTTCCTCACTCATCTGTTGCCTTCTTACTATTTTTATGTTATAAATGAAATGCATAGGTGAAGCAACAATTCGTTAGTTATCACTATAATATTGAAATATAAGCATACATTTCGCAAGTCATGCTATTTCTGAAGAAAGCAGTCTTCTGGGATTTGGCACCGTGTATATGTGGTGTTAACCGACGTTCCTCCGAAACGTCGGTTAACATCACATATACACGGTGCCAAATCCCAGAAGACTGCTTTCTTCATAGTCACCGCCGTGAAAACCTCAAATCTTACATGCTATTTCTGTTTGTCTACGGCTCTTCAGCCCTTTAATGGACCTTGGCTGTTGTTTCAGGTTCTTTAATCCTATATGTAGCCAGTGGGACTCCTTGGACGGGGGATCAGTCCATCGCAAGGCAGCTAAATATTTACAGAATAACAAAAACATAGACCATACGTGCCTTGAGTGGGATCTGAACTCACGATCCCAGCTTTCAAGCGAGAGAAGATAGATCATACCTTAGACTTCGCGGCCACTGTGGTCGGCACAACCATAATCATCACCATCAGTAATCTGTCAGACGACAGGTCCACAGTCTCTTCCAAAACAATTCCTCCACTTAATGCCTTCTAGAGCTTTCTCCTTCAATGTCTCCATAAATGTGACCTAAATTAAAAGTATATACTTTCTTGTGTATTAAAACAGATATCTCAAAAACCTGCATTCTGTGGTTCTGGGTTCTACTCTACCTCAGAAATTCTTAAAACTTCCGTGTTGGTATTATTGAGTGTAGCGAATTGAAAAAGAAAAGAAGAGTGGAGTGAATTACAAAATGATAACGTTGGTATAAGACAGCGTTACGTAACTTCGAACAAGGCCCTGTATTCATAGTCAAACCTCGAGCATAGCTTCATTCTTCCACTGGCCGCCTGTCACTTCCCACACCCTCCACTCCCTTGTCTGAAATTTTTCTTCTGCGCATTCAAGGTTACTCTTGGCCTTGTTCGAAGTTACGTGACACTTGCTTTATATCACGCTTAAAAATCCGTCCATTTATTCAAGAGCTAACATACACACACGCACGCACGCACACACACACGCACACGCTGACGTAATGATATCATAAGACTATTCATCTTTGTGACATAAGGAAAGTTGGCTACAGAATAACCCAGATCTGTCTCATAATACCAAAACAACCCTGCAATGAGTTATAGGAACCAGAGAAGTAAACTTTAATGTCTGAGACCTCGCAATATCCCCGTGCAGAATTTATATGAACGGCATGAGATTATGCATTCCAGGAACACAACCAGACGATGTGCACTGAATTACGAGAGTGTACAGTCAGTTCCTGCCTCCTGTCTGCATCATGACGTGCAGTTCCCAAGTACTCACATTCCATATAGACTTGGCGTTTAATTATTGTGGGTACAAGAGCATTGTTAGGAAAGCCAATGGCACTACGGTTATTGCACTGAGGAGTTGGAAAATATTTTAACTTACATTCTACTAAATAACCATATTGAGCGGTTTGAGGTTTTCATGGCGGTATCCATGAAGAATGCCGACTTCTAGGACGTGACTACGTGTAGATTTTGTGTGAACAGACGTTTCGGAAGAACGTATCGCCTTCATCTTCAAGGTAGAAAAAATCCTGGAGCGAGGAACCAGCGTGAGCATGTGGCTGCAGACTAAGTCTGAGATATGTTCCTCTGAAACGTCGGTTCACACAAGGTCTACACGACCCCCCATCACAGAAGACGGCAGTCTTCAAATGGAAAAATGTTTAAAATAAGATTCAGAGACTTTAAGGCCTATGTTTTGTGGCGCGTATTCATTTGTACCTATAAGTTATGAGGTGAAAGGATATTTGCTCAAAAGAATACAAAAGCACTCAGAGTTGCATATGAAGTACACTTTGTATTAGACGGTCATGGACTACAATTAAATTTGAAGGATCCTATATTTTGGAATACAATGTGTAGTCGTTGAAAGTCAACTGATGTTTCGGAAGAACACATCGCCTCCATATTCAGGATCGAAGAAAAAGTCTAGCGTGAAGAAACCAGCGGGAAATAAGGTGGCAAGACGCATGTTTCTTGCTTTGTTTATTTTTAGACCCTAAAGATTTAGGCAATATGTTCTTCCGAAACGTCGGTTGACTGTCAAAAACTACACGGCGTCATATCCCAGAAGACAGAACCCTTCGTAACCGCCTCTGTGAGAACCTCAAATCCTTCAATTATTTTTTTTTAAACCTTTATTTTAGACACTACGTATAAAACATTATCAAGATCCACTCCGCGGTAAGATGAAACTTGCGAATAGACTGGCTTGACCTCCACATGTTGCATTCATTCTGTGCGTTTTGGCAAGTGAAACACTGGAAATTTATCATGAACAAGATAGTTAATAAAACTTACGTAGTCTTTTAGGCCGCTCCATAGCTCAAGCGGTTAGTCGCTGGCTTCCCACCGCGGCGGCCCTCGATCCCGGTTCTGGTCAAGTGGTATTTGTGGTGGACAAAGTGGCGCTGGGGCAGGTTTTCTCCGAGTACTTCGGTTTCTCCTGCCAATCTTCATTCCACCAATTGCTCCACAATCACCCTCACCTATCATCTGGGGCTGGTACAATAGGCCAGAAGTGGCCGCAGTTTAAGAGACTTAGTCCCACCCCACTAGCAATAAAGAAATATACATAGACTTTTCATAGTGTATATTGTGCCTCTTTAGACTAATGTCACACGAGCGCTGTCTCACGTACGTGAATATTGGCGCACGTCATGGAGGCATACAAATATATGAGGGAAGTCACACGGCACGGACGCAAAGAATGGCGTTGTCCGCGACACGGACGCGAAGAATGTAGCTCCGCGATCCCCCATGACGCAACGTGACGCGTCCGCGCTGAGATATGCATTTGTTTATGGTGGTTGTCACACGGGCGCGATAAATAGCGGACGGGAAGTTAGAATATCACGCTGTTTTGTTCAGGTCAGAATGGAAATAGAAATGGAGAAAATGGTTTTATTAGGCAAAGTCAAAGTCA